AGGGGACCAGCTCGAAAGCACGTGGGAAATTCCCTGCCATGCTGCCTCCAGGGCAGCTGCAGGTGCATTCAGCAGGGCCCAAAGGCCAGCCATTCGCAGCGGGCGGGAGCAGCTCTCCCGCCTGACACCGCGCGGCTTCGGCAGCTTTCACGTGTCCCAACTTCCCTCTCTGAAGTGAGTCAAATTCCTGTTCCGGGGCTGCCTCTGGCAGAAGAGCCCCCGGGTTTCATTCTCACTTCCCCTCCGGGGCAGGCTCTGGCTGGTGCAGGGAGCGAGGCAGGGCCCCATGCACTGCAGGGATGCTGCACAGCCCCGGGACCATCCAGAGACCCACCCAGCGGTCCGTGCCTCCAGCGCGTTCTACCAGCAGCCCCCTTCCTGGCCTTGCTTTGCACCGAATGAATTTGCCCGGGCCGGGAACCCTGTGATTACACACTACCAACGTGCAATTGCACAAGGGGAATGCCTGGCCTGCTGCCATCTCCTGATGCCCGTGTGCAGCCTGGGGCCATCTCTGCCATGTCCTGTCCATGTGGCGTTTCCTAAAAGCAACATTCAGGGGAGAAATTCCACCAGAGGTAGCTGCACCAACCCCTACCGCAGCTGCACAGCCCAGTGCCTGCAGCAACTCCTCGGCCCTACCACCACGTGGCCTGGCAGCCGGGGTGTGAGCCCAGAGCCTGCGGCATGGACCCCGGCACCTGCGCTCCCAGAGGAGCGGCACTAGCTGACTGCAGTAGCGGGCTGTTACCCTTTGTGACCCAGCCATTAGCAGGGAGCCACACAATAGGCTGGCAGATTCATACTTCCAAGGCCAGAAGGGTTCACTGTGACCAGCTAGTCCGGCTAGCCCTGCCCCCAATCACTTGGAGGGTAACATCCCGCTTTGATTGACACATGGCCTGGCCCGTGATAGGGATTCCACCACAGCCCTGGGGAAACTGTTTCACCAGCGAATGACCCTCCCCCTTAAAAATATGCAGCTTATTTGCAGCCTGCGTTTGTCTAGCTCCCGCTCCCAGCCGTTGGCCGGTGTTGTGGCTTCGTCTGCTCCCCGGGCCCTGGACCGTGACCGTCCTGCACCCAGTGACCCTGCTGTTCCCAGTCCAGCCCTTAGGGGCAGCACAATGCAAGGGGGGGGGCATCTCAAAGCATTTCTGCCCCCCCTACCGCAGGCCATGCCCAGAGTCTTCCTGCCCCTGCTCCCAAAAGTGCCGACAGCCAGCTTCTCCCCCAGCTGGCTTCTTTTCCCCCACCTCCGAACGTTACGCTCTAGGGGTGCGGAGCCCTCTACAGTCTGGGTGAGACAGCAGCTTCCAGGGCTGGATCCCTCCCCCCCCCACCCCGAGGCAGGTACGCACATGGGGCGAGGAGCAGCCAGCCTTCCACTCCTGGTGGGGGGGGGCACCCTGCATGGCCCCAGAGCTGGCGGGGCCCCGTGCTCGGTGTCACCCAGCGGG